AAAATTAAGAAATCCCTTAATTTTAATTGAAATCAAAATTGAAGTTGAAAGAGGAAAGGCTTCTAGTGTTGATAATTTTTTTTTAATAATGGGTGATTCCGAGTAGACCCTTTTTTCCTTTCTTTCAGATAATCTTAAAATATTTCTTTTATGTCATATATTTGTTTAATGGTAACGACATCGGCGGCATTCACTTTTACATAAGACACTTCCGAATAAATTTTTTAGTAAATTGGTGAGATCCGATGATTTTACTAGCTTTTATCGGTGCTGGCAATGCTTGAAATATCGCATTTAACTTTTTACACGACTGGCCTAGGAAACCCTACTTGCCTCGGATTTCAAACTGTACTTTCTGTACTTCCGGGGCCCCCGCAAATGAGAATAAGGAAAGACCGCACAGAGTTGAGAAAAGAAAACTGCTCACTACGCGATGTTAATTTATTTTTGACAGACCTGAGAAGCTATCTTTCAGAGTAACTACGTAAACCATTAGCCGCATTTCGAACCTATGCATTTCTGTAGTTTTGTATTTCGCATACTTTGAAATTAGGACGAAAACGAGTTACTTATTGTTTACGATTTTTCTACAGACCAATTTATAAAACGAAAAACGTGAGCTATAAAACAATAGTTATTTATGCACCAAGGGTTATAAAGTTTCTAATGATCGAGCTTCGGTAAAACGCCAGAGGGTTTTTTGTCACCCGACATCATTGAAAACAGTTAACGCACGTTGTACATACATAATTTAATTTTTACTTATTTTTATTGATTCAGAATTACTTATTTCCTAATTAACTACATGTTAACTTGACTCGGTGTCTCTTTTCATATATCCCTGCCATAAATCCATTTCATAATTCCCTCCATACGAGAACATGTAGAACATTCAACTGTTTTCATATTTCCCTCGTAACCACGATCCTTTCGATCCAGGTAAGTTATGCAGTCTATATAAAGCTCCGCATCAAAAGGCAAGAACAAGCTATAACATATCAGTACAAAATAATATTGTTGAGCATTTATTTTCCTATGTCGCATACATTTATATTTTACTTTTGTTAGACAGAAATGAACATGGAATTTTATTTGACATAAATCCTAACACTGAGTGGAGGGGATGCCATTCCACTTCGCGTTTCATTCCTTCCCACCAATCTCGATTGTTCTATCCCGGCGACCCCACGTGGGCCTCCGAGCGAGCGCGTCGTGGTCGTTTCACAGCAAGAACGCGAGCGCCAAAAAAGCGCGCCAGCTGCTCCGCCAACGGTCGGTCGGCGGCGGCGCCGCGATTGTCTCCTTGCCTCGGCCCCTTCCCGCGCGCCACGCGATCCGCGAGATTCCCGCCGCCCGACCTCGCGTTTCGCGGGCTACTCCGCAACACCGTAAACTGTGTTAACGCGGCCATCACGAGTATCGGGCAACGAACCCTGTACGCTGAACGAAAGGCACAATTTGGACGGAACGAATATTCCGCGTATGAGCCGATCTAGCTTAACTTTATAATAGAGTTCAATTAATTTGTCACATTGCTGTTACTGAACAAATTAGTGGGAAAGGGAGGATTTGTGAAAGGATAACTAACCCGAAATGAGAATTTAGACAGGCAAACCAAAAATATTCCATTAATTGGTGTTCCAATAGATATTTATAATAGAAATATTGATTGTCAAATTGAATACAAGTAAACCTTTAATAGAATATTTAAATGGAGATTAAAATGACTGAATTCGAAGTATTTCTGAATACATTCTTTTATCACCACAAAATTGTTTCCAGTAATGTATTCCAAATATACTATAAACACATCCCTTTAGATTTTTACTGTTTTCTACCCACATAATAATAGTTTAAAAATTGTACCATTTCCAATGAAATGCAAAGATGCACATTATGCAAGTTCGTCTTCGTTATTTTTAAATTGTATGGAATATTTTACGATTGTAATACTTCTTTAATGATGAATAATACTTTCCACAACAAAGTATTTCTTCCAATCGTTAATTTTACATATCTTAAAGAGCTGAACAACATATAATTAGTTTTTGCACCAAAACATTAACAGGGCTGAGTACTGCCTTACTTTAAATATATATTTAAAGTAAAACCACTTGTCGATTTTGAGTTCTGTTATACTTACCCCAAAGTATATTAAATGTTTTAAAATTTTTTTTATTATATTCAAAGAATTAATGTAAAACACACTTTTCTTTAAGGCTACCTATTATCTGAAGCTACAGTTGACCTAGGCAAGACATCTCTTAAGTTCGTTAACACAATTGGATAAAAGGAGTTTTTTTGTGGTGGGTGATACATGAAAAGAAAAGTGTTTACGAAACAGAACTGATTTATTGCAATATTCACTAATACAGTCCTGCAATCAGATCTAATGATTGTCTTAAATATTAGGGATTTTTTTCCACACATGTAAACAAGAATAAAAAATTCAGACAACTTCAATCCTAAAACCACAAATGGTCCACTGATTTTCAACACATCTCTCTCACTTTTCTATAGTATAATAAACAAAAGTTGTTAACTAAAAGAATTTTGTTTGGGCAAGTAAATATCTGAAGTGAAAATAACAACAGAAATTAGTGTCCTAAACAAGAGAGCAATTTTACATTCCTAGTTTTTGTAGATGTCTTTAGTCAGATGTAGTTAATAAAAAAGTTTTACATCTAAATTGTCAGCTAATTATGGAGATCAAGGCACTTCAAATCACCCTATAGTTTCAAGCACTTCTCGCGTCTAAGAAACAACAACAAAATGTGAATATGTTTTAATTTATAAGTGGAAAAATGCACATTCAATTAGCTAAGCATTACTGAATAACAGTAACAGTATGCAACCTATTAATTATAAATAATAAAAATATGTTAAAATTCTAGTTTTTTCAGAATCTTTTCAGTGGTATCGTATTAACATTTGCACCTTAATGACTGCAAAATTTTACTAACTTCACAGCCTGCTATGAAAAATTTCATTGCACTGACTTTGTACTGAACATCTCATATTTTACCAATACTACAGAGAAGAAAAGAGAAACATCATTATTGGAATGGGCAAAAAAATTATTTTTTTTTTCAAATGTTGTAGTAATAAGAGTTGAAAACCATTAAAGCCAATTCAAAAGTTTCACAAATTTACCAAAAATAATATTCCTCTTTTCCATACGGGTTTAAATTGTATTTCACGATAATGATTACTACTTGCTCAAAAAAATATACATACAAGCATGGAATGAAGTACATCAACTTTTAACGAATTGATATTTTATAACCAAAAATTAATGTTTATAATAGGTGTGAGTTATAAATATGAAAAAGGATATGAAGAACCCAAACGGAGATATAATAGTACATAAATAATAAATTACTTCAAAACACTCTCCATTTTCTCTGAAAACATAAAAACTTGAGCATTTGAAAATATTTTTCTCAATTAATAATGAATGAATAAGGTTCCGACACAATAACATTGAGAGTTCAGTCAATTTAAAAGCAAAGTATCTGATCATTTACACAATGAGAAAAGCAATGTCTTATATTTTCACACAGTGGCAATGTAAATTTTCCTTAAAAATATTGTTGTCACAAGGTATAAAAGTAATATTATTCATAAGTTTTCTAAGTGTTTATTTAACATTAATTGCATGTTTTCATAAAACAAAAATTCCAACACAAATTACTTTTGGTGCTTGATTTTCACAACAATTTGTAAAAAAGCAAATACCTCAATAAACATTAACATAATTCTAGAGAAACACCACTAAATTCAATAAAAGTGTTTGTAGAGATAATTTACTGAAAACTAAATGCAATCTTTTTGCAGAAATCACTACTCAAAAGTAAAAGGAAAAGGGTTCTGTAACCAAATCATGCAGATACACATGAGAATTGTACCAAAATTCAGATCATAAAATATTTGTTTAACAACCTCTAGAAACAAAACTATGTACATATTTTTTTTTTTTCAAAAAGAAATAATTCCTTTTGCTAAACTGCATGTGTTACTAAAAGCATGCAGCTTCTGCTGCTTTGTACACATGTCTTTATTTCAGACACCTCCTATTACCTCAGGGATAATTTGGAATCTCAAGACTAACAGTAGAGCAAAATTAATTTCAAGGAAACCACAAAATATATTCAATTTGTAAATAATATTGATTTATACAGCTGCTTACGCATGTACATCAATAATTGACCCAAGAGAAAACAAAATAATTCAATAATTACATGGATACAAAGTAGTCTGCCAGAGTAGAAGTTCTGACAGATGTCTAATAGTGAATTCCAATTACATGAAGAAAAAGGAAATAATCAATATTAAACATAAAATCAGAATTCTTCAATCCCTTACATTTAAGAAAATCTTCACTCTGAAATGAAATCAATTTACTGAAAACAAGAAATTTAATATGAATACCAAGTGCCTAATAAGTTAAGTACTTAAGTCTCAATGTAAAAAACAACAAAATTAAAAAAACTTAACAAACATTTTAGCAAAATTTGGAAAAATCCAGAAAATAACAGCTACGAAAACTTTATAATCACTCTTTCATATACTGGATGCTAACAGAAGTAACATTTCTTAAATGCAATCTCATGAAGCATTGCTAGTATCACAACTGAACTAAAAATGAACATTTCTAATCAATTTGTACAGTTTCTGTTTCACAGGAAATCAGAGAATTACATTAAAAAAATTAAAATAACACGGAAAGAAAACAGTAATAAAAAATAATACTGTTTATTCATGCAAATACATTAAAATATTGCAATCCATCACCAAGATACAAATTAAAATAGAAAAAAATAGAAAAAACATATGACAGTATGATTACTAACCAGTTTTGTACATTACATCGCTGAGATAATCTAACATATCTAATAAGCGATTAATATTGAAAATATACCTAAAGACTTTAAACAGTCATCTAGTGGGGTATGGATTGTGAGCTAGTGCAATTTAACAAATCTACATGAAATCAAATATCAATCTCTCAAATCCAAACCCAACTCTTTGCACCGTTTTTTAAAATACTGGGAGAGTCGGGAGCCACATTTATACACTTCCGTGTCTTCGTCATTGTACATACGACAATTTTCAAAGACAAGTAAAGCATCGGCAACAAATTCACTACTATTTTTGTACTGTGCCCTATTTAATTTGTACTTCATTGTTCCCAAGTCCATTGGTTTCTTAATAATGATATGGTAGCGAGGAGCTTCAGCTTTTCTAACAGGTTGTAAAAATGGCCAAGCATCTCTCTGACACATTATATCAGACAACAAATCCTGAAGCACAGAATTATTTAGAGAAAAATCAGTAGCCCCGCTTTTCCTGCGAGAGCTGCGACGGGATGTTTCATTTTCTTTCTCTTCTGTAGTATCCTCATTCACATTACATTCAGAACATGTCCACATACCTTCTGGAGCTTTCTTCAGCGGGGGACTAACACACTCTATATGAAATGCCAATGGACAACTACTGCAGAGAATTAAATTATACTTCAATCCACATGCATTACAAACATCATTATGCATTATTTTTCTAGATTTAGATGGTCGCTTTTCATATTCTTTGGTAACATTTTCAGAAGAGGACTTCCTCTTTTTTTCTGATGATTCTTGCTTTTGCTCTGGTTTACATTTCATGCAAAACCAGTCACCCTCTGGCACTTTTGTAAGTTTTGGCTTTAAGCAATACAAGTGATGTCCTCTATTGCAACCATCACACAACAACATATTTTCACCATCACCTCGTCTTTTACAAAGTGCACAACGAGTATTTAATACTGATTTTGACCAATGTATACTGAAATCTAATAAAGATATGTGGAGAAACAATTGTGAGAAACTTGTTGAATTCATTAACGAAACCTCCCAACCTTTTAAGTTCATTATTTTTTGATCCTCATCATCATCGTCAACTAACGGGTTTCTCAAATACGACACATCTACTGCTTGAGCTAATTGTAAAATTGCACTTGCCAGATTTTTAATAGTACGGCTTCTTGAAAACTCATCTTTAACTTTAGAAATTATCTCTATACTCTTCTTCACAACTTCACCCTGAGATTTGTTGTTAAGATCATGACACGATGTACGCCTATTCTCCCCATTTTTCTCTTCCAGTACTCGTCCAGAAACATCCCAAGATTTCACTGGTGAGTTTCTTCTTAATGCTGAACCCTGAGTATCTATATCCTGAACACAATTTTGAGCAACAGAACTATCACAAACAGAATTTACTGTATCACTTACAATTCTTGTGTGATTAAATTCTTCATTATTAAACACTTTCAGTTCATCATTCTCAATTTGATCATTAGAAAATCCCCACATTAATTTATCACACTGTTTATCATACTCCCCTTTCTCAATTGCTTCACGCCATGCTGCTGTATCATTCACTTCTAGGGAACCCATACATCGAGAAGAAATTTTATTCTCTAGATCTAAAATACGTTCTCTAAGAACTAACTCCATCAAACAACTCGCGGATGTCCCTGGGGGGCAATTGAGGTAGCGATAACGAGATGATGATACGGGTTTTGGTTCATTTTCAGTTTCCAATGAATTAACAATATCCATGGGACACTGCTCTACTTTGTCTTTCAACCATTGTTCATCTCGTATCAATATTTTCCTTAGTTCACTCTCACGAAAGGCACATTTATTCAGACGGTCGATTAACAGTCTTACATCATCTTTACGCTCAAAATATGACCAACGAACACGAGGTGCTGATAGTCCATGTACTGGACAACTATCTGATGAAGTACACTGCCACATTTCCAGACGTACTGACTCTACCTCGCTGGATTCTAATTTGACATTATTTGTTCGAAGAGAACCATCATTACCTTCCCTCTTGACAGGACTTTTACTTGCATTCTTACGACCGGGGCTTTTTGCTTCTTTAGAACTCTGTACACGACTCGGTGACAAAATTCCTCGAGGAGTAGCTTGAAGCAGACAAGGACCAATTTCGAAAGGATTATTTTCGACATACAAGCCTGGCAGAGAAGAAAATACCCAGAACCTACGATGCGCTCGGTCTCTTCCGATAGGAAATAAATTAAAATTCATTGACAGCGATCGTAATCTATTGATTTTTTCTTCCAAGTCGGTTTTCTTTTCATTCGAGCGCAATTCCTTTTCGAATGTTATCTTCTCATCTGACTTTGCAGGTACGTCAGGTTCAGGAGCGACTGCTGATTGGGATGTATCTCCTTCTTTCAACTTCATTTTTGCTTCACGTTTTTCTTTAATTCTTTGAGCATGAGCTTCTTTGTTGCGTTTAACTTCGGCTGCTTTGTATGCGCGAATTTCGAGTTTCACCTGCTTCAGCTGTTCGCCACGTTCGTCCAATTCCTCTCGTACGGGCACACACGTTAGAATTTGGTCAATAAGGCAAGTTAATATAATTATTTTGTCTTGAAGGGGCATTTCGCACACATGACACGAACTCAAAGCACGGAGGATATGTGGATGTTTCGTCCGAAGCACAGTCGTAGGATCACCAGGATCTGCTTGAAAGTCACAGTTTTGTGATGCAAGTTCGGCCCTTCGACTCCCACACGATAAATGCAATCTGAGAACTTCAGTCACTGTCAAATGATTCAAGGTTTCACTTACGAAGGCCCCTTGATAAAGGCGATTACCATATTCTGCGGCAGCTAAACGAGCTGTTTCAGAGACGTCTGCATCACCTACTAGCTCGTCGTTTTCGAAATCAATTGGTGCATCTGAATCCAAAATTTCGTTTTCATCTTTCATGTTAAAAAGTGTGGATAGTAAATATATAACAATATTACATAAAGGGCCGTCGATATTACAATCCCTAAGGGCATTTTCTAAATAATTGAACGTAACACCACGAGGGAAGGATTTCTTCATTTCCGCGAGAGTCTGAAAAGATTGAAAGAATTCTAGAATCACCATAAAATCACCAAATAATTCATTTGGTATATAAGCACATTTCACTTCTTTTGGCACTGGTAAGGGTCTTAAATCATCACATTCCAAATCTTCGCGCGTTTTGGTCCGTCCTTTCAAAAGGGTTGCCAATTGAAGCTTTTCTTCATCTCTTTTAGCTTTTTCTTTCATTTTTTCTTCGCGTTTCTTCAACTTTTCCATTAACGCTCTTTTCTTCTTCTTTTCTTTAATTTTCTGCCGTTCTTCCCAAGTTAAGCCCCTCCATGTAGAATACTTCCTTTTCACAGATTGATCCAATTTTTGGTTGCCATCTGAATTTCCCTTTTTCTTGGCTTTCACAATTTTTGTTGAATGTTTTGATTCAGTTTTAGAAGATTTTCCCGTGACGTTTTTTTGCGAACTTCCTGAAGAATTTATGTCCGTCACTTGCCAAGAACTATTTTTAAAATCATCAGCATCAGAACTTTCATTAGAATTGAAACTATTCGCTACCCGAGGGGGTTTCGCCGCTTTGATTTTCTTTACACTTTCCTTCTTCACAACAATGCCATTTCCTCCATTCTGATCTGGACTATCTTTCTTGGCTTTCTTTGCAATCTTTTCATACTTTTTCGGGAATTTAGGAGGCTGACCCACAAATATGTCACTGAATTTCACACCGTTAATACCCAAACTTTCTTGAATCGAATCTTGAATACTCCATATTCCGAAGGAATTCAGCGACAAACATTGCTTCAGGAATAAAGTCAACTTACCTTTGGTAATTAGTCTTTTCTTTCGTCTCACATGCGATGCACTTGCCTCAAACACTCTATTGATATCATTGTAACTGCAGAACTTTTCAACCTGATAATGATACAAACATGCTGGTGGAAATATCTGATCGTCTTCTGCAGATCCAACTCCTGAATCCTGATAATCTTTGATTTCTTGCTCAGTTGGCCCACGTACTTGTAGTATGGTGCAGTTGTACCATGATTTCCCTTCTAGGCAGGCTTCCAAAACTTCCCCGATGAAGTAACGGTCCTTCATAAACAGATACACATCGTTAACCAACTTATTAAAAGATGATCGCTGAGCTATTAATGACAGACAGAGAGAAACCACCTTCAGTTCTCTAGGAAATGATTCGAGTGTTTCTTGAGCTTGCACTGGGCCACTAGCCAAACCGTTGGCGTGAGTCAATTCGGAACTTCCAGTCATTGTTCAAGATTACACGGCACATGCGAGTACGTTGCACTGACTTATACTTTCACGTATTTCTTCTTAATACACAAGATTCGGAGGTGCTCATCAATAGTCATGTCTTTGGCAGTCACCACAACTCACTCGGCGATTGTTTTTGTTGTTTGTAGACCATTTCTTAACGCCATTTTGTACAAATTATTTGCAACTAACAGCTGTTTTCACACAGTTCTTTGCACTTCTCTGCTAACCGCCAACCGAACACTGAAGAACGATGCTACGATGAGATACTATCGATCGATACAGCCGCCATGTTTGCGAGAGTCGAAATAAGTCGAACGCGAATGCTACGTTCATTCGGTTGAAGTCAGTGGTCGTGAACGTCAACATGGTGGGAACGGGATATGATGTGAAGGCAAGACATGGTCGTGATCTGTTGTGCAGTGTCGTGCTGTGTTCGAAATGATTAGGTTGTGAATCGTTGGGTAATTTAAATTGATGTGATGTGACCACTCGGAATGATTAATGCAAAATATTCGTGTTAATAAAGCAAAATAATATTGGTATTCGTTGATGTTACCCTGATTCTGACGTGCAGATAACGTATGTACCTGTACTGCTTCCTCCGAAAGTAGTAATAAGTTTCAGGATCTGCTGCCAAGTCGTTAAGTTATATAATATTAAATAAGGGACATATTTTTGTGGTACAAGTGTAAAGATTTCGATGAAGTTTCTTTACAGGTTTTTACTCCCAGATGAGGTTGGCTCTTGAATTATGTTCTTGATGCATTTAATGGTATACGTCCAGCAGATACCTGCAAGGAAATTTAGCTTTAAAAGGAATAAATATCTGTGAAAATTTATTATTGAAAAAAAATCTGCTGTTCTCTAATAAAATTACAGGAATAATTACATGCATTTTGAAGCATTAAAAATTCAAACACATAACTGTAAAATAGAACATTTTATTTTCAGATTATCATTTTATCCAAAAGTATTCTTCAATGAAAAATGAATGCAATTATTAAGCTTTTATTAAAAGGTGGCAACCAGTTGTGCATGTTTGCTTTCGTATTAAATTGTAAGTTTTTCCTGTTCATGTATTATGAGCACACATTTAGTTCAGCCCTCGAATCCCTACTTCCACTCCTTTAATATTAGTTGAATTTTTGACGAAAGGGCATGCAATAGCACATTAGTTGGTTAAATGTAAGTTATGTAGCTCTTATTTGGCCAGTTCTTGCACAGTTTTCTTAGTTGAATTACAAATAGATGATAGCAACAAGCATTCTTCGCAAAATTTGATAACCATAAAATATCCTCTGTCTTTTAATAGAAACTATTTTGCATTGAAATAGTGAGCTACAAATTTGATACAATATTCCTGCCATTAACACGACCAAATCCCCCACTCATGTTGCACGTAGAGAATTGAGGGTTCAAGAAAACATTTACTTATAATACAGTTTTCATATTTTAGTGAAACCTTTCGCAATACGATAATAATCCATTTACGATAGCGGTAAATCAGCAAAAAGCATTCTGGAGGCCTAAGTCCAAGTTGGATTGCAGAGCCATTAAAAAGAGTGAAATCAGAAGAAAGAGAAAATTCCTATTAATGAAATTAATAGCTATGTACCTATCTTCAGAGCAGGTGTTGCAAAATGCTGACTTAACTCTATTCACATGGGAAACAAAACCATATATATTGTTGCCTAGCCAATAATAGCAACAAACATACTTGAAATTACATTATGCTCAATGAACTTCTTGGGTATGTTAATTGTTTTTAACCAGAAAAAAGGTATGTCTGGTGTATGAACAAAGTGTGTGGAGCCTGTGCCAAACAAATACTTTAACAGTGTTAAATAGTTTTGAAATGATTTTAATTAAAATTTTCGTTTTTCTAATAAATTTTTTATACAAAAAAATTTCATTCTAGTTTTTCTTTTTATTGTTATATTATTAGAAGTTAAAATATTATAATTAACCAGTTTAACAAAAGTACAAATTAAGTACTTCACAAATGTTATTGGCTGTCAGGGAGTCATCACTCGCTTTTAAAAAAACAAACTTCAATACTCTGTTAGATTCATTTTTTATTTTGCCCAATGGGTTGCCAGAGTTGATGTCACCTTTGTCACTTACAGAATATAGATATTTTTACACAGTTGTTTAATTATTTTTATGATTTGAAACGCTTCAAGATGAGATTCTTTGTATAGAGAAGTAATCAAAGCCTCATATTTGAAAATATTGTTAAATATTTAAAAAAACTAATTACTAATCAGCTAGCTTATTGCCTACCTACCTGAATGTTTTGCGAGACTAAATCCTAAATATATTTATAATGAGTCAATGATGTTAAAGTGTTATAAAATCTAATGAAAATTCAATACAATTACGAAAATTGTTCCCTTAATCATGAAAATTACTTCAAAAAATATAAAAATCATAATTAAATCTGTCAATACCATTATTGTTAATTATTTAAATTATATAATTTTAAATTAAAATGTTCACTTGAAGCAGACTGCACCCCCACTTTCTTGTAATTATGTCACTGGTACAGTAATTTGTTATGAGTGAAACTGTTCATAGCAGAGTGTATATCAAGTGTTTTGTTGAAAGGAGGAAATTATTTAGCTAATCTAATTTCCTCACAACCCTCGTAATAATTTACTCAAATTTCCTTTGCTGTAGAGGAGAAAATAGAGAAAGTGCTGTAGGTTTATGTTGTACAAATAGAACAATCCCCCAACAAACATTTTTAATGAGCCCTAAAACAAGATTTTAAAATAATTCTTGTTTAAAACAGACTACACATTTTTGAGTTGCTGAAAGTAGGATTCTGCATCATTTTCTAACAAGTGAGCATTTAGCAAGCAATGTTCAGCAATTTTTTAAAATTTAAAATATGAAATTATGTCTTTTTGTCTGAATATTGCTTTGACCTTAATAAAACTTCATTCAACAGAAGTAACAGGGGCCATCTTGAGCCACGCAATATTTTGTAAGTCTAGGTCTACTTCTATACCACTTTAAAATTGCACTAAATATTAAAAAATACCTTTTAAAATAATTTCAAAAGATTTCAATATAGAATATGTTGCAAATATTGCTATGATTTGTAGGATTTTCCTTTAATATGTAAAAATATGTACTAGGAAATGTGGACAAATGTAGATTATCAAATGCTTTAAATCACTTCAGAATCACATCTAATTCGTAAAACTGTGTCAAAAGAATGATTGTATCTATTGAACATACAAAAATGAAATTTCATAGAAATCCTGGTTTTAATAACAGAAGGCAAAGGTTGAAAAACCATTAGATGAGGATTTGCCACCTTCAGTACATTTTCTTGTGAAGGAAATTTTCATTTCTTTATCCCTTTCACATTCTTTCATTATAGGTTATTAGATGCCACTGGCGAATCCAGATTGGGGGGGGAGGTACAGGGACCATGCCCCTTCCCCCCCCCCCCCAATTCATGGAGGGATATGTATATTATTTAAGAAAAATCTATGGTGTCCCCCCCACACACACAGGATTGGCTGGATTCGCCCCTGATAGATGTACTGTATTAAAAAAAACTAAAACTAAAATATAATATTAAGTACTATTGAATGTTTTTTGAAAATATTTTGCAGAATTTTAAAAACTGTTTTTTAAATCATTTTGAAAATGTGTGCAGTGTGTGTGTCTGCTAAATGCATCTTTTAGTGTGTGGAAAAAATGTTTATTTAAATGCAACTAGAATTCTGTAATTTTCTATAAAGTTTTTCTTTAAAGTTTTTGTTGAAAAAGTACTTCTTTAAGAGGACAGTATATTTACCCAAATACATTCACAGACTTTCTACATAATGCTAGGATTGCTAAAAATTTCACTGTTCTATGTCATGTAGATTTTATTCAAATGTTATACAAAACATTCTTCAATTTGGTGAAACCATTGAAATATTGATTTGTGTTTATATGATATGATCATCATAACATGTTTTATTGGCTACCAGCAAAGGGGGCAGATGGAAAAACTTTCCCTGAAATGGAAATGTATTGATACCACCAACGTCTGAAACAATTTTATGAGCTGAATAATCTCCCACTCTTAATTCACACATTGTATGTTATTTTGGGCAGAAAGAAGTGGTAATTTAAAATTCTTCATTGAACTGAGTAATATGTTGTTAATGGAAAACAAAAATATGCGAAAGGAGGGCCAATGTATGCATGTTTTGTCTGTTTATATATGCATCCCAGAAAATCGCTCGAGAATTTGGTCTGGTAATTTCATTGTAGTCTTCTAAATTAGCTACTGGATTAAAATAAAGATCTTTAAAAATTGAGATTCACATTACAAGGAATTATGTCCGTAAGTTCCATTAATAATTACTCATGTTCAGAAAAGATGACTATTATGAAAACTCTTTGAATAATGAAAGAGTATCTACAGCAAGGTTGGTTTTCATTTTATATTTATTTTTTCAAAAAAATTATGTTTTTAATTAATAAAACTATAGTCCAGTTAGTTCTTGAGTTGATATTGAATTATTGTACTAATGAAGCATGGATTAAACAAAGGATCGAGTGTCAACATGATGTTTTGGAGCATATTGAGGAATTGTGTTTGCAACAGCTCTGTGAGGTATACTTCCTTCTAACTTGTCTTGAATTTTTCATATTTACTCACTAGTGTTCCATTGCTTGGACTTCCATACTGAATTGGGGATGATGCATAGAACACATTTGTGCATAAACTCTACGTTTATTTATTTATTTTCTCTCAACTCTTATTTACTTCCATGTGTAAAATAATGCTGAAGAAACTCACTATTTTTTATTTAGGGTGCACTTTTCTGTGTCAGCATTTTATCTCCCTTTTATTTAAAAAAAATTAAATGTTATTGAGTTTTACTTATAGTTTCAAATGTAGTACTCCATATCCAATAACATTAGCGTTGTGTTAGAGAGATATGAATTTCTGCAGTCATCCATCAACAATGTGCCCCAAATCC